TGAGCTACATTCTTTTCCTTTCTTTACTTCATGGTACTATGAGAATTGACCACTGTAGTTGTAAACTAAATGATTTTGGAGAATACAGCAGAATTTTAGTTCAGAGGACTGGTGTTTTCTTTCCATTGTTAGACATACTTTTTATTAAGTTCTTGATTTGGTCTTTTCTTTAGGTGCTGCTACATCCTCCTCCTCTTCTTCACCTTCATCTAGTTCCATAACAGCTGCTGTTATGCTAACATTAGCCGAACCATCAATGTCCAGCGCATCACAAAATGGAATGTCAGTTGAGTGCAGGTGACAGCAGGACTTGCTAAAGCACTTTGCACTTAATGGCTGTTAAGGGCCACGTCTTTTTTTATACTGCACAGTGGCACAAAAAAAAAAAATCAGACAAGCACTATTTTATATTTAAAAATTGTTTCTTGACAAGCTGACTTGGCACTTAAGTGCACTTTTTTACGAAGAAAAAGTACAATGAACTGCTTTTCCTCAAGCAATAATTGTTTCCAACTTGTCTGGGAATTGTGTGTCTGGTAACTTGAAGGCCTTCCACTGTGGCAAATGGAGGCTTTTCACTGCCTGTAGAGTCAATACAGTAAGCATAGTTATGGGGTGGGCCAGAACATGGAAAGATAACTTACTGTATATGTATTCCCTTGTATTTTGTTAAAGCTGGAACATTTGATATTTTTCCATTTATTTATGAAAAATATGAACCTATTTTCATTTGTACAAGCTAATTGTTTTTTAAAGCAAGTCACCTTATGGTGGCTTTAATTGTATAAGTCAAGCACATGTAATAAATTCAAAACCTGCAGTTAACAGGATGTTAGACATCAGTCCTGGTAACCAAATATTAAAGAATCTCTTTAAAAAAGACTGAACTTGTTTACAGGTTTGAATTAGGCTAAAAGGTCTTGCTGTGGCTTTTCATGCCCCTTCAAATTGGAAAGGAACTACTGTACTTTGCCATTTTTCTATAAATCAGTATTTTTTTTTAATTTTGATATAATACATTGTGTGAAAAAAGAAAATGGCTAATAAACTGTATTAAATCTTAAACAATGTATAAAGATTGTACTTAGCCAGTTCAAAGTGTATATTTATTCATAATGAATTATAACAGTTATATTTTTGTGTTTTCTTGTAAATGTTTCTTTTCCCTTAAATACAGATAATTCATTTGTATTGCTTATTTTATTATGAGCTACAACAAAAGGACTTCAGGAACAAGTAATGTATTGGTATGGTGTAAGGTTGTTGATATGAACTGTCTCAAAAGGATGGTTGTTATTTTAAATATAAATAGCTAATTGGGGTGGTCTATAAAACTAAATGCCTTGTATAAAATCCAAAATGAACGCAAAATTGTTTTCACTTGTATTGACTTTATGTTGTAAGATTCCAATCTCTGTTCTGTTTGGCACTTGTATTTAATTCTTCACCTTTGTAAGACATTTGTATATTGCGGATGTGTTCATTCAAGCTATTTAATACCTGGCACTGTTAATACACAGTACTTTACTGTACAGACTGTTTTACTGTTTTAATTGTAGTTCTGTGTACTTTCTTTGGATGGGACTGGCATGTTTTATTTGTTTTCTGGCAATACGACATGTGAGAATTTCAAAGCGTTTTGTTGTAGATGCTAACGTGTCAGAATCCTTTACATTCAACTTTTCTAAGAAAAGCATTTTCAGTCTTGTAGTGTGTGCTTACAGTAACTAATTTTGTTGAAAATGGTTTCAAGTTATTCAAATTTGTACAGGACTGTAAAGATTTGTTGACAGCAAAATGTTGAAGAAAAAGCTTATAGAATAAAAGCTATAAAGTATATATTAGGATCTGCAAACAATGAAGAATTATGTAATATATTGTACAAATGTAAGCAAAGGCTCTGAAATAAAATGCCATAGTTTGTGAATCCTTGATTTTGTTTCTACAAGATTAAGTAACTTTAGTTCATTTCTGTATGTGATGACTGACTGGAACATATATATCCAGCGTGTATTAATTATCATAAGGGGTTAACTGGTACCAAAAAAAGGGAAAATATTCTGTCTATAAAAATTAAGTCATTAGCCAGATAAGTAATTTGTTAGGCAGTCTTTTATCTTTGCATACACTATTTTTCTTGAGTCTGAATTTAAATATTTTTCTTTTGATTTGGAAGTTTGTCCAAAGAAGAAAGTCAATTAAAATTTTTATTTTTTTTAACACTTGAAACCATTACTGGCAGCTTTTTTTTCCTTTTTATTTTAATTCAGTTGGACCCTGGTGGTTCTCTTATAGTTTAGTGTGCTCTATTTTCTTGCACATTGGAATCAATTGGGCATTATTAAAATTATAGTCAGTATCAGACCCCACCCCCAAAGAGTTGTATTTAACTGATCTGGGGTGGTACCTGGATGTTGATGTTTTTTTAAAGGTCTTCAGTGATCATAATATGCATCTTAGTTGAGAAACACTCTTTTGCCCCAAACCTTTAAAAATCAGTAATCTAGCTTTTTGGACTCATTTACTGGACTTTCCACCAAAAGAAAATTTTTTTCTTTAAAACAACAGAAGAAGAGGATAAGCTTCATTAAGGCCTAAAATGCTCAAGTATGTATTTTTTCAAGCTTCTTTGATATGACCCTTTATTTTCACAAAAATTAGCTTAACTTTTAAGGGATGAGTTTTAAATCTGTAGAACAGTGCTTCCCAAAATTAGTTCATAGAATACTGGTCCTCGGAAATGCTCTGGGAATTTACTATCAAATATATTTTGGAAATGCTATATATAGCATATTCCCTCAGAGAGTCACAGGGTTTGCATATTAAAAACTTTAAGACTGTGAAGAGACACCTGGCTAAATAACTTCCTGTACCCTACTGTTTTCAATCTTACTTAATCACGAAACCCTGTTTTTCAAGGAGTTCTTAATATCACCTGCTGGCTGTCATAGAAACAGTGTTCTATAGGGGCATGATTCAACTTTTGTTGGAGTTGAGGTTAAGTATTCAACTGTCTCCAACCACAGCCTCTTTCACACCATTTCCCTCTCTAAATATGTACTATCATTCTTTAGGAGTCCATTTTCCCACCTTTCTTTCCTAACTTTAACCTGTATTTAGACACATATTTGGGGATATTTGGCTAACGTCGTGGAAGGGGTTATACATGTATAAGATGTGATCTTCCAGAGGCAGTTTCATGGTTTAATTGTAGAAGTAATATAAGATGATAAATCGTACAGTCAGGGAAAACAAGTGTGTGAAAGTTTAGAGAAGGCAGTGTATAAGCATACAAGAGTCTCAATTATCAATTGTAACATGAAGGAGACGCAAACTTTTGTTAAAAAAAAAACTTAGACAAATTAAACTTTAATTGAGCAAAGAATGATTCATGAGCTGGGCAGCCGTCCCCCCCACCCCAGTCAGAATGGGTTCATAGCAACTGCTGCTGCTGTATGGTCGGAGAGGATTTATGGACAGAAAATGGAAGATACAGTAACAGCTGAATTGGTTGCAGCTGGCATTTGCCTAATTTGAAGAAATTTGAACAGCTGGCCACCTTGAATGAGCAAAATCAACATCTAAGGGGGGATTCCCCCTGGAAATTGGCCCGTTGGCTAGAGTGGAGGGAAGAGTCTGGGTGGCCAGACAGGAGGAGGTTACAGTGCTGCAGATCGGGTGTGATTCCTGCAATAATGTTGAGGGAGAATGGGGAAGAAGTGAGCCTGGGACACAATCTGAGGAAAAGGGATAGAATTTGTTCACTGGACTGTATAGGAGAGATGCCTGAGTTGCATCTCATGCATGCATGGATAGATTTTTTCTAATCTTTGTGAAATACCAGAGAGTCATTATGGGAAACTAAAATAAGGGACTCAGTAATCAAAACCAGAGACAGGCAACTGAATGTTGTGGGGTTTTTTTCATGTATTTATCTGATGAGGGCAATAAAATGTATTTCTGGTGAGCTTGTGCTAAGCAGCTTTTAAAAAGCAAGGCTGTTCCCAAAAGATTCAAAGTCTAAACTCTATTTTACCACCCAAACTACTGAATTCAGTGGCTTATTTAGTAATCTTTTATTACGTGTCAGTATTACAATGATTCATTAGGCACAAAGTATACAGCATACAGAATGAATGACTTATCCTTACATCTAAGGAGACTGTAAATAAAACTCATGCAAAAAACCATTTCAGAAAGTGCGATGGAGACTTGGAAAAATCTCTCTTTTGCAAACAGCAGGGAAATTTTCCTAAGTGAGCTCATACTTACTGAGCAGGGCCTTGAAGCACGGTACCATGTTGCAGAAGGGGAGCACGGAGAGCGCAGTGGTGGGGTCAGGAATTAGCAGGCGCCGAGGCCGCGCAACGAAGCCGGCTGGAATGTAAAGATGGGGAGGGACGTGAGACTGGGAAGGCAGGTTGAGAGAACGGCCGCAAGAGTCTTGAGTACCAAGCGTCTACTTTCCCTGGTAAGGTAGCAGGGCAGCACGAAAATCTTTGGGACCGTTGATTGACTGTTGGAGCTTTTGGTTTCCAACTATGTTTTTAACTTTATTTTGAGGTAATGGCAATTTCAGAAAAAGTTGCCAGAAGAGTTCAAAGAACTGTACACTCTTCACACCGACCGACCAGTTGTAAATTCTTAGCGCCATAAACCCCTGCAACCTCATTTCTTGCCAAAACTCCCTACTGCCTCTTCAACAACTGAGGGTTCGTTCGCGTTTGTCCCTCTGCTTGGATGGATACCCGGCTCCCGGTGGGACTAATTCGGATCCATACTTCAAGTCTCCGCTGCTCTTGGATGACTTACTTCACTCCGAAGACCAGGTGTCTTAGAAACAGGGCGAGGCCAGCCAGCCGCCTGCAACGAACCGGCCACCACCCCCGCCGCCGGGCGCCTCCCGCCAGCCCCCGCGCGGCCGGAGACAGCTCGGGGCGGAAATGGCGTCGCCGGGGAGCGGAAGTAGCCAGAACCCGGAAGTGCGGGCTCACGTGTTGCTGCAGCCTCGGAGGCCTCGGAACGGGAATGTCTTTGGAAGGGAAGAACAAACGGAAGAAAAAGAAAAGTGCCGAGCCGGGGTGAGTGGCGCGCGCGGCATGTGTACTTTCGCGCGGGCTGGCGAAGCGGTGGGGCGTGGCACGTGGCTGAGTTTCTGTCGTGCTTCTCCAGAGAGAACCGAGGCGCCGGCGTTCGCGGGCGTCTGACTGAAGACTACCTGATTGGACAAGTCGCCAATAGCTTGTGCCACGGCAAGCGGCCCTTGGGAGGCAGCGCCGGTCGGCTGGCGTCCCTCTTCGGCTCTTCTGAGTCGCAGGTTCAACCCGTGTACGTGCCCGTGCCGAAAGTAAGTCTGTCCTGAATGTCCCGTTAGAACGGCGGTAAAGCAAGCTTCTTACCACGCAGAACATGACTTCTAAAAAGGGGGCAGGTAGGATTCATCTTAAGTAGCCTTTCGTCACTCTGTGTACCAGTGAGAGAGAGGAGATGCTAGTGTAGAGAAACCGCTCAACGATTGCTTAGAGTCAAACTTGAAAAAGAATGGGGTGTCCTGCCGGGCGCGGTGGCTCGAGCCTGTGATCCTAGCACTTTGGGAGGCCGAGGCGAGAGGGTTGCCTGAGACCAGGGCCTCGAGACCAGCCTGGGCAACATGGTGAGACCTTGTCTCTACAATAAATCAAAAAATTGCCAGGCGTGGTGGCACGCGTCTGTAGTTCCATCTACTTGGAAGGCTGAGGTGGAAGGATCGCCTGAGCCCAGCCGGTCCAGGCTGCACTGCAGCGACAGAGTGAAACTCCAACACACACACACACACACACACACACACACGAAAAAGGATGAGGTTTCACACACACACACACACACACACACACACACACGTAAGAAAAAGGATGAGGTTTCAAGCAAAATTTCAAACTTTTAAAAGGAAACCACCAACAAAAGGAAACGGGATGACGAGGAAGAGAGTACATCCCAGATTCAAAGACCACTTTTGCAAGAATCTGCAAAAACAGTGAAAGCGAAGAAGACACATTCTGATGCAGAAAAAAAGTTGGCAAACAGGTTGGTAAGATTCTGTTTGATGTTAAAGAAATTAAAATTCCTATACCTTTAATGTTTGTGTTAATTTTTTTTCTCATTTAATCCTTCTAAATTGTTTCTTTCAAAAATTTTATTATAGGACGTCTCATACATATACAAAAGTTGAAAAGGATCAGGAACTCCACGTACCCAGCACCAACAATTCTTAATACTTGGCCAACCTTGTTTTATCTTTCCCCTACTCATATACCCCTCATTATTTGAAAGAAAACCAAAGACTTATGTATCATCTATAAATATCTCAGCGTGTGTATGAAAGATGAGTTTCGTTTTCTTAAACTTGTTCAGAGACCACATTTGCCCTATTAACTTAAATTTTTTTTACAGTGTTGTTTGAATCAGGATCCAAATAGTGGAACCATCACACATTCCTAGTTAACTTTCTTTATTCCTCTCTTCTTTGCCACTCTCCTTAAGCCCCTTACAGTCTCTTTTCTTTTCGCTCTTGTCCTTTTACAGCTGAAGACCTTTTTACCTATTTTGAGAGCTATTAATCAATCATAGTTGTGAACTACTTCTACTTTTTGTTCTCCTGATTAAACTTAATGGATCTATGCCCATCAGAGAAAGGTATCTTCCTTGTCGAAGATTAACTCAACCACCTGTGTGCTTGTTGTACATACCACATACTTGTTCTTTTCCTCTTTTTTAATCATGCCAGTAGATCCATCCATTTTCTTTTCTTTTTTTCTTTTTTTTTGAGTCGGAGTCTCACTGTCGCCTAGGCTGGAGTGTAGTGGCACACTCACGGCCACCACAGTCTCGACCTGCTGGGCTTGGGGGATCCTTCTGCCTCAGTCTCACAAGTGGTGGGAACCACAGACGTACGCCCTCATGCCTGGCTAATTTTTTGATTTATTGTTGAGACAAGGTCTCACCAAGGTGCCCAGGCTGGTCTCGAGTCCCTGAATTCAGGCGATTCTCTCGCCTCTACCTCCCAAAGTGCTGCGATTACAGGCATGAGCAACTGTTCCCTGCCTTTTGCTCTTACATTCTGTATCCATCTTTCCAATGTTTAATCATGCTCAAGGTTCTCATCTTGAAAAAAGACATCCAAAACGATTTGCAATTGTGTCTATTGCTACCATTCCTTGAATCCTTTTTTGCCCTTCACAATCAAGCTTTTAGAAAAAACTAATCTATGCTTGTACTCTCTCCCTTTTCTTAATCTATTTACCCTTCCATGCACTTGCAGTCTGATGATGGTGTTTTTTTTTAATTTTTTTTTTAATTTTTGCCTTGATCATGCCTTTGAAACCCTTTTTTAGCAAGGCCATCTTGATTCCATTGCCATCTTGGGCAGTATAGCCTTTGTCTTATGAATCCTCTCTTATATTTCACATGGCTACTTTTCCTATTGAAACTACTGTATTCTCTGAGAACAGTCTTTGTGATTCTCCTCCTCTTGTTTATTCTTTCTCAGTGTTGGTGTCTTCTGAGTACTCTTTAAAAAAAAAAAAATTTAGAGACAGTGTCTCATTCTGTTGCCCAGGCTTATTTCAAATTCCTGGCCTAAAGTGATGGGATTACAGGCATAAGCTACTGTGCCAAGCTCCTGAGTACTTTTTGAATGTTGATTTTCCTTAGGGTTCTTGTTTTAAGTCATCTTCTCATGACCTTTTTCACCTTTTATTTTGGGCAGTATTTGTACCTACTCTGATCTCCTGCTCTCTAGACCTAGCTATTTGCCTACTGGCAACTGCACCTGTATTTTCCATATGCATCTCAAGTTAAGAGTGCTTCAGGATGAGCTTATCATGCTCATCAAACCTGTTGCATTGCATTAATGGTACCAGTAACCTTCTAGTTGCCTTAGTCACTGACTCTGGAGTCACCCTGTATCCTTTCCTCTCCCTGCATAACTAATCAGTTGCCAAGTCTTGATGCTGTTTTTTTATTTTTTATTTCTAATTTTTCTTTTTTTGAGTTGGAGTCTCACTCTGTCACCCAAACTGGAGTGCAGTGGC